GTCAGACGCTCAACCAACTGAGCCACCCAGGTGCCCCAAAAAGAAAAAAATTTTTAATAAAAAATTAAAGAGCCAAAACCACCTGTGCTATTTTATAGCTGGCCACATAGAAGAGGCTGAGTAGCAGGTTTTCTTTTGTTTTTTGTTTTTTGCTTTTTGAGAGAGAGCACACATGCAAGAGAAGGGGAGGGGCAGAGAGAGAGGGAGACAGAGGATCCAAAGCAGGCTCTGTGCTGACAGCAGAGAGCCCGATGTAGGGCTTGAACTCATGAACCGTGAGATCATGACCAGAGCCGAAGTCAGACACTTAACTGATTGAGCCATCCAGGCACCCCAGGATGTGGGTTTTCTGAGCCTGGAAAAGTAGGTGATTTAAAGGAAGTCTTGACCGGGTAGCACTCAAGTTGTAAGCATTTTGAAGCACAGGGAATCAAGTCTCCCCGTCAGACTAGGCAGAATTGCTCAGGCTGCCTCACTGAATCTCAATTCTGACTCCAACTTCTCTCTCTGCAGCAGAACCAAAGCCGGAACTCCACCTGTGTCCTTTCTGCCCTTCGGATTTTTCCAGTCAGAAGTTCCACATGCAACACATGCTGTGTAACCATCCCCCCTGGGTCTTTACGTGCTTGTGTGCAGAAACTCCTGTCAAGCCAGGGGACCCCTGCCCAGGGGACCAGAAGCAGCAGCAACCAGCCTCTGATCGAGATTCCTGGAGTAATAAAGCAGAAGGCCAAGAGAGAGAAGGCCCCAAGCCTCTGTTTGGCAAGACAAAGAAAAGGACTTCGGGAACGTTCTCCAGGGCACCCCAGAGGCAGCCAGTGAGCTCTAGGAGTGGCATCAAAGGGGTGGAAATCAAGTCCAGCCCCGCTCCAGCGGGGAGCCCTGGGGAAGCGGACAGACTGTTGAAGAGGATAGAAGTCTTGGGATTTGGGACGGTCAACTGTAGAGAGTGTGGACTGGGCTTCAGCAAAATGACAAACCTGCTCAGTCACCAGAGGATTCACTCCGGGGAGAAGCCGTACGTGTGTGGGGTGTGTGAGAAGGGCTTCAGTCTGAAGAAGAGCCTTGCCAGACACCAGAAGGCCCACTCGGGGGAGAAACCTATTGTGTGCAGGGAGTGTGGCCGAGGATTTAACCGGAAGTCAACACTTATCATACACGAGAGGACTCACTCGGGCGAAAAGCCTTATATGTGCAGTGAGTGCGGGCGAGGCTTCAGTCAGAAGTCAAACCTCATCATACACCGGAGGACACACTCAGGGGAGAAGCCCTACGTGTGCCG